TTATTGTTACTGTTGTCGTCGCCATTACTGTCCTGATGTTCAAGCGGAATATAAGAACAACTCTTGAAGTAGACGTATTTGGTAAGTCATATTGCCCTGATCATTTTACATAGGATATCTAAGTACACATAAATTTTGCTTGTCTTTTGGCCGTGAATTTTTTTTATTTTGCTTTTTTTTTCTTTCCTCTCCTCATTTGGAATCCAAATGTATAGATCATCTGACAGTTGATCTTTCAAATATACTTTTATATTTACATATGTAAAAAATGGGGATAATTTTTTTTTTGTTGATTATTTTGATTGTTGAGTAACATTATTCATTATGTCAAAGAATCAACCACCATTTTGTTCTCATCTGTTTTTATTTTTCAGTTAATTCGGCGGTCGAGACAATTTGCGATTGTATATTGAACATTTATAAGAATGAATGCTATCATATCGACGAATTTATTATTTGGTAAAGCAAAATGGTCTAGTTGGTAAAAAAAAAAAGTAGTTTGCTCTTCGTTGCAGTATTTTAAACGAAGATAACAAGTAGCTAGGATAATCATAGCTTAAAATCACAGTAAATTTTATGTGACGATATAGTTCCTCCCCTTTTTTTTTAGCTGGCTCTGAACATTATGACGTTTCTAGCTTATAAAGCTTACTGTTGCTGATGTTCATTTGGTGCCCTCGTTTTTATTTGTTCTGATTTTTTATTCTAATCAAACACTTCCTTTTTTATCAGTCCTCGCAATGGTAACTTTTTCACACTACTTAATGTTTCACTAGCATACCAGTGCTCTTCATTTTTTTTTATCTTTATTTTCATTCGTTTCATTGAACTTATAAATCTTTCATAGATATGTTGTTGGGAAAAGTTTTCTTTTTTCATTAGAATGTTATTTGATTTTTGGTACTTTGTTAGTATTAATTTAATTTCATATTTTTTTACATTGTGGAATTATTGAGTAAAAAGTATCTACAGGCAAACAATTCATTTGGACCGATTGAAACTGTTATGGTAAAAAACAACTATTTTCATGTACTTTCTGGATTATATATTTTCTCGACCTTTTGCGTTCTTTATGTTGATATGATTTATCACTGCCTACTTTCGTATCATTTTTCGCTTCTGACTGCGACGTTTCAAAGAAGCTCGAACTATTACGGTAAAACCGTTTAGGAAATTTTACCAGCCATGCAGACGATAGAGAAGGCGATGCATCAACCGATGCCATTTACCACCGGTGGGCAGACTATCACAGATCGACTAACTGCAGCAAAACATTCTTTGGCTGGAAGTCAACTTGGGAAAACAGTTTGTAAAGCTACTACTGAAGAGCTTATGGCACCAAAGAAAAAACATCTTGACTGTAAGTGTATTTCCTTTAACAAGCTTATTTTGACATTCACTCGTCTTCTTTCCTCTTATCGGACTTTCAAGCGTTCTTTTCTGCCTCATTTCAATAATTTTACAATAATTTAAGAAAGAGATGTGTTAAAAATTAATTTCGATTTGTGTTTAGACTGGCAATAATTGCGGTGCTTTCCAGATAAGAATTAAATAACAATGTTAGTCTGGCCTTAATTCCCTGAAAGTAAAATGGACAAAAATTTTACATCAGTATTTTTTTGAATTTTATGGCTATTGAGCTACTTGTTTTAGATTTATTACACTGTACTAATGAGCCAAATGTGTCAATTCCGTCTATGGCCAATTTGTTAATCGAGCGAACGCAAAACCCTAATTGGACGGTTGTATATAAGTCTCTTATAACTATTCACAATATCATGTGTTACGGGAACGAAGTACGTTTTTTGATTAGCTGGATGGTTTTAAAAAGCGAAGAAGTTTTTTTTAACATTCAAGTGAAGCACTGTAACAAGAAATTAGGAGAAACGGCTTGTAAATGCAGTGCTAGCTTTACTGAAGCGACTGTAATCTCGCTTGATTGATAAGTCAGGCATAAGTTTCTCCGGATTCGTGCAAGGACTGCAGTTTTACCGTATTTTTTTTATAGAGATTCTCGCAATATTTGGCTTCTTGCAACACGACATTCAACTTGAGTACATTTCTCGACAAAAATTCCGCTCAAGGTTTTTAATATTTTCTCACTATTTTAAGTCTAGACTATTCTTTGAACACCTGTCATTTTCACCTTAATTTTTTTTTCAATATATACACTTTTGTCGATGCTTTAATTATGCTTGAAATAAATTGCGCATGGTAAAGATAAGTGTTGTAGTTAATGCATGGCCGCACACTACTTAATTGTTCAACATTTCGTTTTCTATTAAAACTCGTAGCAAGTATGCAGTAGTGTTCAAAATTGTAAAACTCTTTCACGCATGTTTTGGAGCTCTGATATCTGTTTTATATGTCCGGAATGAGTTGTTAATCTATTAAGTCAACTTCAGTGTTTAATTTACACTTTTCACTCACTTTTTTGTGTTGTGAAGTGGTACAATGTCTTCAGGCAATTCATATTCACTCTTTCGGAAATGGGGCTCCTGGGATACTGTTCATGTCGGTAATGCATTGTGGAATGTTTTTCAATTTTTTTCTTACATTTCGTTTTACGGTTTCTGATGTTACACTGTTCAGGATAACATGTATATGAAATGCATTCGTTTATTTTGCCTTGTTTGGGTTTTTTTACACAAGCTACCTCGAGAAATGGCATGTTTCACAGGTTTGATCCGGAAGCATGACGAACTGATTTTTAGGGTCTTTAGAGTCAGTGTGCTGTAGTCATTTTGTTTCTGTGCATGGTTGTGTAAAAAATTTTTTTATATTTCCAGCCTTAATTTTCCTTTTTAGTAGTTTCTTAGCCGCATATTCGACATTTGCTTTTAAGGTTACGACATGTCACAGCATGTAAGGAGATACGCGAAGTATATATCAGAAAAAATATCGTCTTACCGTTTATGTGTGTATGATTTCTGTAAAGTGAAACGGGGTAGAGAAGATGGACTTCTTAGAACAATGAACACTGACAAGGTTAACTCTCTCATCTAACATTTTTTTAAAGTTTTAAGCAACTCATATGTTATGCAGTAAAATAACTTTTAAATAATTTCAAATATTAGTTTCCAAACTACTTTCTTGTTTTGCATGGAATAATTTTTGTGTATTTTCAGCTATTGAAAACGATGCCGATATTGCAAAACCAACTTGATGCTCTTTTAGAATTCCAAGTAAGTGCCCTTCATTTCTGAATCTTTTAGCTTCTTCGAGGTTTTTTGTTTTTGATTGTTTTCTTTTTCTGAACTTATTTTTTAAATTTTCTTTCTGCAAATTCTGGCTTTTCCACCGACTGATGGTTTTATTTTTTAGGTTACTTCTGGAGAATTAAACAACGGTGTCATAAATTGTTCATTTATACTTTTATTCCGAGATCTTATTCGTTTGTTCGCTTGTTACAATGACGGCATTATAAATTTACTTGAAAAGTTTTTTGATATGAATAAGAAGCAGTGCCGCGAGGCGCTCGATATGTATAAAGCTTTCTTGGTAAGTGAAGTTTGACTGTATCCAAATAATTCCTTCTGTTTGGACTTTACTGAATGTTTAAAACACTGGGTTTGGGACCGTTTTTGATGATTATATTATTTCAAGGCGCGTCTCGATAAGGTGGCAGACTTCCTGAAAGTAGCTGAGTCAGTTGGAATCGATCGTGGAGAGATCCCTGACTTGACTCGCGCACCAGCATCTTTGTTAGAGGCACTTGAAGCGCATTTGAATCAGCTTGAAGGTGGTAGGATCCAACCGGGAGCAAATCATGTAACTTTTCAAATATTAAGTCTTAACTGGATTTTTGGGTTAGCATTAACCCTATCTTTTTTAGAATGAGCAGTTTGCCGCTGCTATGGGACAAGGTTCTTTTGGGTTTTCTTCGGGACATCAACCAAGCTCTATGGATGACTCTGTCAAACAGAAGTATTTAGAGGATGAGAAGGAACGGCTGAGGATGTATGAGGCAAGCAGCTTTAACAGCGTTTATCGAATTCCTTCAGCGTTTTAATGTAGCTCTCAGTAACGGTTACTTTATTATGAGGTTCTAGTGAGAATGAGTAGTTATTTAATTATTTTCACTATTTTAAGGAACAACGTAAAAAATCTGTTCCCTCGGATAGTTCCAAGACTGTTGTCCCACAGAGTTTCAACCCATTTGCTAGTGCCTCTCCGCAGCCGTTGGCTGAACAGCGGCCTGTCTCGAAACCTAGTGATGATTTAATGTCTCTCTTCGAGCCTGTTGCCGAAAATACTGCTCCAGCTGCACCTGTTTTTCCTCCTGCTGGAGCAGCCATGCCGCTCGATGCTCAGATGGCTTCATTGCAACTTGATCCTACGAACCCATTCGCACAGAACGTTTTCACGCAACCACCTGTGTTGCCTGCACCAGTTGTAACTTCAGGTAGAAATTTTGTTTTTTTATTTTTTACTTTTTCGAGTTTACTATCTTTACAAGCTTACTCTGATTTAATTTTGGATAGAAACTTCCTTAGTATTGCATTTCCTATCTCTTCACTACAAAGTTCAGCATACGGTATCTATTCGAGACCAGTGAATCCATCAGCAGTTGCGACTGATTTTCCTGGTGGCTTTTCCTCTGCTCCAGTTTCAGCAAGTAATTTCCCACAAGAGAATACTAATCGTAAGTTTTTTCCTTTTGATATAAGCATGTGCTTTTTTCTCTGCCCTTCTAGATTTCGTTTCTAAAGCTCCAATTTCTGCCTTTTTAAAAGCCTTGGAAAGGTACTCAGTATTATAATGAGTCCTGAACGACGTTTTTTCTCTCATATGATGGTTGACACTATTTTGGTCGGTAGAGGTATACAAGAAAGGGCTTTTCCAAAATTGTCAAAATTTACTTTACGCAGAGAGTTTGATTTGAAAATCACTTTTTGTTTTTTTTTACAACTTTTAATTTTATTTCTCAGTAATTATGAAGAGTTACTTAAAAAATACTATTTGTCAGGCATATAGAAAAGCGTTTCCTTACAATCGAAGAATTTGGCTAAAACTCATTTTTCATTTTTTTTTTTCGGTTTTATTGGTTGATGCTGCGGGAAGCTTTCTAGATAATCAATTTTTCTTCTAAATTTCCCATTGGGAAGCATCGCTTTTTTCCCATCTGATTACCATAAAAGTTTTTTACAAGGTTGTTTGGCCTTGGAGCTTAGCGTTTTTATGTCGTGGTGGTTGTTATCTGTGCTGTGGTCCTGTTAAATTTATTTTTGTTTTCGTTTTTATTTCTGTTAGTATTTATATCATTTTGATGGTTGTTGTGTTGTGCAATACTGGATATTATTCAACGACTTTTGTATATGTAAAAATTGTTATGAACAATTTGTCTAACTGAGGGAAAAAGCTAGGTAGAAGCTTTTTGTTTACATGGCTGTTCTGAAGTGCTATTGTAGTGAAGGAATGTGTTGTTGTTTTTTGTGCCAGACCAGAATTATCTATTCAGAAGAATCTGCTAACACTAATCCATTCTTAATGGGGAATAACGGTGCTGTAGCTGCACCTTCACCATTTTCGGGAAGGAGTGAGGAGAACCGTGGGTATCAGTGGGGTGACGTCAGGATGTCCGGCAATCAACAGGTTCAGTGGGCACCTGTTTCTGAGGCGGATATTGACAGTGATGAAACTGGTACAAAACAACCTGTGTGGAATTCTAGTGATGAAGGCTCACAGATAACGTCAGCAGCTGAGTCAAAAAATATTGATAATACTAACAAAACAGATACAGGTGCTGGAGCCTTAAATGAAGCTGTGAATTCTGTATTACGAAATCCATTTGGGGCGCTTCAGCAAAACGCTCAAGGTTAGTGTTTTTGCTAACTTTCGAGGTCTTCGAAAGAATTGATGGGTTGTAAAATTTGTTTTTGACTCATAAAGTTTCGTGGTTGAGTCACGTGCAAATTTTTATATGCTGTTTCTTTTGCAGCTTTCCATGCAGCTGGTTCAACTGAAACTGTACCTCCAGCTCACAACCAAATGCCACCATTTAATGTTCCTCCAACTGTACCATCTGGTAGGATTTTTGCGACATGATTTATACAGTAGTTTTTTTCCACTTCTCTGCGGTTAATAAGTCCTTTGAAACAGTGAAATTACTAGCGCAAAAGCTCACTTTATTTATTAATTTGTTTAAACGCTGTGGATTATCTCTTTGAAAGTAGTTTTAGGGAGTCCTTCACCGACCCCCACTGCAACTCAAAGTGGTTCCCAAGGATTTCAGCAACAGGATCAGGGGCTCGTTATTTATGATCAGACACCTTTCTGTTAGTTTACTGTCCCTATAATACCGTTTTAATACGGTTTTTTTAAATGAAAATTTAGATTTTCGATGTTTTTATACAAATTAGTAATTTAGCCCGAACAGACGGTAGTTACAATTCATCCCCAGCACTACCCCATCGAATAACTGCCCATTTCGAGCAGCCTAATATGGATGGATCGCAAACTTTACAAGGACCACCACCTGTTAACTATATGTGTAAATATTATACTAAATTTAGTTTGTTGACGACGTATCTGTAAGCATGAAATTGTTCAATATTTTGTTTCTTGGCAATATGTTTTTACTGATCGGTGTTAATTATAGGTGTGTTTTTGTTCCATGATGTTATTTTGTAATGCTTACTTTAAATCATTCTTTAATTTCAATTTTTAGACTCTCAAGCTCCTCCGGGAGGTGAGTTCTATTTGACTTTGTGAAGATTGCATTTGGATTTGTTATCACGTTCATTTGTAATTTGTGTTTTGTTTTGGTGTTGTTTTGTGTATGTTATGGATTTCTTCTTTATACTCTTACATGGAAGGTTTTGCTGATGTGTGTAACTTTTAGGACCCGTAATGGACGCATTTTCTTCACAGCCTTCAACAACTACAGCTTCTTCAGCGTCGACTACGCAGGCAGGGAAATTTGGAAGAGATTTGGATTCGGCGTTGAACTCGATTGCTGAAAATCTTACTGTTAGTGGAAAGGCGGCAACACAGGGGTATGACTGTAATGCTGAATCACTTCCCGGCACATTAATTACTAAATAATTTAAAATTTGGAGGTTGCAGCAGACGAATATTTTTGAATTGTTTTACCGGTTCGGCGTCAAATTAGTGATATTTCATAACTGTCTCTTCTAGCAAACCTGTTCAATGGAACAATCAAGGTGGCTCGCGACCGTCCTTAGTAGCTCCCACGCAACCATTGACACAGTTACCTTATACGCAGGTTCCGGTTAGACCATGGGGACAGATGGGTGCTTACTCATCTCAACCAGGTTGATAGTTTTAATAAATATTATGCATGGAGTAATTGGCTTTCACGTTATTTGTTTATCTCATCTGGTATTTACTGGAGGGGTGTGACAGTGAAACCGATGTACCATTCCTCACTTTTTACTCTGTTTTTATAGCGCTCTATCCGTCACAACAAATGATGGGGATGTATGCGCAGCCAGGTTTTGTACCAATGCCGACAACAGTCTATGGTGTACCACCACAACCACAAACCAGTCAACCCACAACGGCCGCACAGTCACAGACAAGCTTCACTCAACAGCATTCTTTACTTTAAAAAGATTTCTCTTCGGAGTCAGATTATCTCTGGATTCTTATTGTTGCAAGTGTATATTTGTTTCGAAAATGTTTTCTTGTTTTTTGAGTATCCCGGATGACTTATTTTGGTTTCGTCATATTAAAACTTGTGATCTCATTGTTTTTCGAAAAATCCAAATATTATTTTCCTTTCTCTTGTTTTTTTCTATTCTAAACTTTTTAGTTATAGGATTCAGTTCAAACTTAGCGGGATAGAACTATCAAGTTTTAGCTGCTTTTCACATGCACTTTTTTTTACATATTTTTTAAAACGTAAATGATGGATCAAACAGCTTATTGGGTCTAGAACTTTCTGCTATGTAACTTAAAAATATTGATCAGTGGTATGGCAGTTCTAGTAGTACATCAGTTTTATGGACCCAGCTTTTCGTTGCTTTGCTCTTCTTACTTAATTATGGACTTAACTGGTCGCATTATTACTTCAGTTAAGAATTATTTTGGTATTAATTTGGCTATAAGTCAAGGTTTGTCACGAATATAAATTGTCTGTTTGTTCGCTCGCGCTGTAAAATTTGGTTAAGTGAACTGGCTGTGCTTAGGCATCACCTTTTTTTTGAGTAATAATATTGAGAATTAGTTGGTTGAGTTTTCTTTACTTAACATATGATATTTATTTATTTTCTTTTTTTTTTCGTTTGGTTTAAATAATGAACGCGGCTGAGAGAGAAAGTTCATTATATTCATAGTTTTAGTAGTTTTTCAAAATAAAATGTGTTTTTTTATTGTGTGGTTGGAAAAACAGAAGAAGCAAATAAATAATTTATTCTCTTTTGACACTTGAAGATTTGCATCACAATAAATTTTAAACTAGTAACTTATGAGTACAAGTGGTGTTATTTTTGGTTTTTTGTAATTGTTATTTTTGACTGTCTTTTATTTAAAAGGTAAGTAATGGATCAGACATATGGTGTCCGAAGTGGCGTATTCTTAGTTGTAGGAGTTTGTTGTCGTTGTTTGAGGGTCTCATGGACAGAAGTTTAACTTTCAGGTCCCAGCTTGCAGTTTGCCGGTGTTCGTTAAAATTTTCAACATTTTTATATTTTCTGCAGCTTTATTGCTTTAACGCTCCTACACTGTTTGTCTGTCGTTTATTGATGGTGACACATTTTTGTGATGTGTTCGACCGTCTTGGCAAAATTTGAATTTCTGCAAGTCTGAGCGCTCCTTGATGAATTTGTATTTACTATCACCATTTTTATTATCTTATTTGACAAGTTACTTTCACTTTTGGATACCTGTAATTCTAAGGATGAAGAGGTTACGCATAACTGTGGTGACATCAGATTTATTGTGAGAGCTATTCGAAAAAACCACTTTTTTTAGACATTTTATGAACGCTTGTGACACATTTCTCTACGTGTTCACAGTCTTTGCTCTATGCCCGTTGATTAATGGCGAAGCAATTGTAGCTGTTACATGGTCAGCAAATGGCTTTCAACAAGCGGCCAGTTTTGGTAATTTAAAAATTTAAAATTATTGGAATGGATAAATTTTTGGGTGGAAGTTGTTAATGGTCTGGTCAAGCTTAGTCAGGTAAAAACAATAAGATGAAGTCAACATACAAAAATTATTAGGAAATTCTGGATTTAAAATTTAAATTCTATTGCTTTTTTTTTTATATTTTTTCTGCGATTATTTTGATAACACATTTTCCAATAGTTTTGTGTTGGCAAACACTACCAAAAAGCGTCAGAAGTAATTTAAAAGAGCAAATTTGTATTTTTTTTTTAAACTATAGCTGCAAAAATAATTAGGTTATCTTTAATTATTTTGAAAGAGTGAGATATTTGATATTTTTCGTTCTTATCATTTTTATATTGTAGCGTGGAAAGAATTATCTAACACACATAACCGTTTGCATTCGTTAGTGGAGGGTTTAAGTCTGTGCGAAACTTTAAGATGCGATGGTTCTGTAGGTTACGGTGGCTCACCAGATGAAGATGGTGAAACCCGACTCGATGCACTTGTTTTCGACGGGTATCTCTTTCTCGCTTCTAATTATCCGTCAATTATACCTAACAGAATGGGCTAGTATCTGCTTAGGATTTTGTACACTGTAATTGAGGACTTTAGGCCGCGGCATCGGATGGGTGCTGTGGCGAGTTTAGGCGGAATCAAGGAAGCAGCAAAAGTAGCTTATGCTGTTATGAAGTATACTAAACACTCAATGCTTGCTGGAGATGCAGGTCACTTTTTAGCTGCTTTATTATTTTATTTTATTTCCTTGGAATTTTATTGTTGTTTCTCACTCGTTATAGAAATCTTTCTTTTTTTTTACGCTTAAAAGCTTATTCTTTATTACGGGTTAAAGCCCCTTTGTAAATTGAAGCGTTCTGTATCTGTCGTGAGACAGTTACATTCACGTCTTTGAACTTCGAAAAAAACATCGTGTTCTGATTTCTCAAATTTTTTTATTGGGATCCGCTTTTCCTTTTGATAGCTATGGACTTGTTTACTGGCTAAACCTGTTAACCTGAAATTTCTTATTGTTGTTGGTAGCCAAAGGAGTATTGTAAGTTTATGTGAAAAACTCTTGAATTATTTGGAATTTAAGCCACGAATTTCGCACTGGGTATGGGTTTTAAAAGGACATCGTTGTATTCAAATGAATCAAGAGCCGCTCATCAGAAATGGCTGACCAAGAACTGTCAACCCAACTTTAGGAAGGTTTATCTGTAGCTTTTTTTTTCATTTCAACTAAGTTTTTAATTGTTTGACAAGCAGGTGAAATTTGAGAAAAGTATTTGTAATCCCCTATTCTTCTCCAATTGCATTAGCAGTCACTCAAAAAATTTTTCTTTGGAACTGCCAAATTCTGTTTCAGAATGTATTACCTGATCCTCGACTGCACTGTGGTCCGTATAAGCCGATGAAAAGAACATACCAAGAACACAACAAAAAAACGTCATTCGATACGGTATTAAACGTTCTAGTGTTCTACCATTTCCTTTGCCTAGTTTTGAAAAAAATTTCTTCCGAAGAAGATAGCTAATTGATCCGAGGCTCTTCGGAGTTGCGTAACCATAAATCACGTCATTTAGTACTTTTCTGGTTAAATTAGGTAGAGATAACACTGTCAATTCTATTAATTAGTTTTGGCATATTAGTTTTTTTCCTTTTTTTTTCACTTTTTCAGTGTTTCTTCTATCAAAATTAAAATAAAAAAAGAATTTTTGGTTTTATAAAATTTTTAAAACCAGAAAATTTTTTGAAAATGGGTTGGGAAATGTTGGTTTATTTGCGGGTTTAGGAAGTGCTCTAAAGAAATAACATCCGAAATTATACGTAAACATTACGTTGGTTAGGTTTTTATCTCTTTTATTTGTTTGCGTTTTGTTTTGTTTTTGTTCAATTTTCTTTTTTGTAAACATGACTTTTTCAAGAAGGACATCAACAACATATGAATATTTGAAGCTTTTAAAAGCACTTTTTAGGTTTAGAATTTTAAATCAAATTATTAAAAATGCTATTACTTTTTACTATTGCATGTTAAAGATGTTTTAGTTTCATTTGACAAATGCTAATAGTCTTTGCAGAATTTTTTAGTGGACGGGGGATGGCCATGATACGATGGGAATTGTCATTGTAGATGACAATGGCGATATATCTGTCGGCACCACTACAAATGGAGCAACTCATAAAATTCCTGGGTATAAGCAATTATGTTATTTATTAAAGTTTTCTTGCAGTTATAGTTGGTTCATTTTGATCCTTTGAAAATATAGTTTTAATTTTTTATTTTGGGTAAGGAGATCATTAGGAATTCTTTGTTATTATTTCTAAATTAGTATTATAGCGTTGGTGTTGGCAATTAGTTATAATTTTTTTTGGTACTGGAATTTGAGTTGAATGAAGGTGCTTGAGTACTAATTTCAAATGATGTATAGCGTTTTGATTACATATTTCGTTGGGAATTTATAAAATTTGATAATTATTTAATCTAGGAACAATTATTAACATTGTTAGAAAGCATTTGCTGAACTCTTCGTTCAAATTTAGCGTAAAAAGTACAGTTTTCAAAAAATTTTAATTTTTTTACTGGAGTTTTTAGAACAATATGCTCAAGCTACTGTTATTCCTGAATATTACGTGTCTTTTAATGTTATGAGGAAATTTTTTGCCAATAATTTTAAAACTTTGAAGCTTAATTTAAGGCAGTCGTCTGTAGTGGGAGCTAAACACTTTTTTCAGTTATCAAGATAAATGAGTACATAATTTGATACAAAGTGAACAAGTTTTACTTTACTTGATAATAGTCAAAGCGCTTTTAGTTGCATATCTGATAATAAGCAATTATTGAAAGTTTCTATTTTTAATTGTCTGGGCATCCCCATTGATAGATTGTCGGGGTTAAAATTTTTTACTGGTATAACCGTTAAAAACTTACTTTCCAGGGACACTTTAATCATAAATTTTCTAAAGCAAGCAGTTTAACTAGCTGCACTAAGGTGTTATGGTTTAGTCATTTTCTACACTCATGTATGCTTTATTTCTAGTTCCGTTATTGGTAATCAAAAATTGTCAAGAAATTAGTACCATAACTGTTTTTAGAAACCTATAGTTGTTTGAACAAGTCGTTCGAGGTTAATGAGGCTTAGCGCCTTGGCGCGGTTCGAAACGAGAATTGATCTATGTCATAAATCATATTTTGGCTTTTATTGCTTGAAGAAGTTCAAACTGTGATCCTCACAGGATTTTAAGACATTGCTCTATTCGCAGTATGAGGTTGTGAAGACTCAAAATACACAAGTTTATAGATTGTTTTATCTACGGGTCAAATGAAAGTTGAAACAATTTTTCTTAGCAAAGTTAAAGTTAAGTTAAAGAAACTATTTTTCTTAGCAAAATTTTTTTTTTCATTCAAGTTTGTGTTTTTTAATTAACATCTGCCTCTCTGATACTGGAGTATGTGTTAAATTAACAAATATACAATACTTCTTATTTTTTCTATTACTGACGCTATTTTACCGACCGTAGTTCATGGGTAGGTTGGTATTTTTCACGATATATCCTTGTACCTCTCACTTCGATGCTTTACAGTATATGAAGATGAGAAAAATAACATATGCAGTTGGTTTAGACGAGTTGGTGATTCACCCATTCCGGGAGCTGGCGGATACGTAGATAACGACTACGGTGGTGCTGTAGCTACAGGTGATGGTGATGAGATGATGCGTTTTTTGCCCAGGCAAGTGTTTGGTTGGCATATGAATGAGCAGGAATTTTCATATTTTTTCGCATTTTAACGCCTAATTATGTTTACTTTTTTTTTTT